GTCATTAATACTTAGCACTGAAAGGTTAAAGGTTAAAGGTTAATGTTAACCGATGAAAGTAAACCCTTATTAGCATATAAGATGAGTAAGTGCTAGAAGAAAAGATAGTTGAATAATGATAATAGCTTGAAAAAATTTTAATTTGAAAGAAATTTTAAAAAAAAAAAGTTGAAAAAAAAGTTTTGCATTGCCTTTTTTTTTTTGTTTATTTGTAAACAAAAGATACTTAGTAGTATGATAATTGGGATATTATATTAATTTAGAATGTAATTTTGTAAGAAAGAAAACATTTATATTCCTTTCAGACCAAACAAACTTTCTGAGAGAGAGAGTGTTGCATGCATGCATGCAAAACATGCATGCATGCAAGTTTTGCATTTTTTCGTGCTGTTTATTTATTGCTCACTCACTTACAAATTCAAATCTTAGAAGAAATGTATAAAATTTAAGAACGATTTTTCGTATATTTAATAAATTTTGTAAATATAATTGTCATATTGTCACATTATTGATTGTCTTGAAATGCTGCGCTGTTGTTGAATGATTAATTTTAATTTTACTTACCTATAATAAATTTACTTTTCAAATAATTTTGAAAAGTTGATTAATCGTTATGATGAAAAATAAGTAAATAAATAAATAAATAAATAAAAAGTTAGATGAAGAATTCAGTTCTTTGCTTAATTACTTATTACTTTTAGATTAAAGTAATAGTAACACTGAATGATAAATGCCCTTCAAACTAATTTTACTGATTGATTTTAAATTATTTGTTGTTAGATTATTTTCATTTACAGCAATAATTTTGCTAATATTTTAGAGGCCAAAACAAAAAATTAATTGCCCAGTACTTTTCTCTCATTCTCGCATATTTTCTTTTTATTTTCTTATAAGAAAAGAAGAAATTTTGGAAATTGCTTTACTCGGCTGGGCTTAATTTCCTTGTGCAGAAAATGCTTTTGGCCAGAATGAATGATAGAAAGAAGATAACAACAAGCAAAAGAGAAGTAAACAAAGCCTAAAACTTGTATAGTTGATTTGTTTCAACAAAGTTGCTATTGATGAAATGTGTATGTATGTGTGTGTGTGTGTGTGTGTATGTGTACGTATGTGTGTATGTGTATGTGTTTGTGTATATGTATGTGTATGTGTGTGTGTGTATGTGTGTTTGTTTACAAACGAAGGGTCATTCTCCACTGATTTGTTTACAATCTTTCCTGATTATATTCATCTTAGATTATTTGAAGATATTTGTATAAGAATAAAATTACTTATAATCAAAGATACTTAAAGTCAAATAAACTTACTTGTAATCAATGATACTTAAAATCAAATAAACTTACTTGTAATCAATGATACTTAAAATCAAATAAACTTACTTGTAATCAAAATTTGAGGAACTTACTTGTAATCAAAAATTGAGGAAATGAAGATGAGATGGTAATTCTTTTTTTTAGAGAAGTAGATGATAATTTGAGGAAAGTTTTAGAGTAATTAAGGAAGTTATAGATTGTATTTTATTATTTATTCTTTTTTGTTTATTCTCATTAATTAACTGAAGTGGTAAAAAAAAAGGCTATAATTACTTTTAGTATTACAAAAGGTAAATTAGCTATTGTTCAATTTAAATTTTAGGCATATTATTCATTCAACTACATCTATTATTTCAAACTATTTTGTAATAAAAAAAAAAGAATGGAAGGAATTTTGTTTACATAAAGAATGAGTGAATCCCTTTTTCTATGTTTGGCTGTTACTGTTATCAATCTTACGCTCTGCTAACGAAATGAACTAATTGATTGATGACAATTGGAAATGTTTGCTTCGTAATATTTGTCATCGTGATGAAACCAATATGATAATGTCGAAGATAAGACACACACACGCGCACACACACATATGTTTCTATTATAAATTTAAAAATTTTCTTCATTTAAAGCATTTTTTTTTGCTTTTCTTATTGTTGTTTATTTGAAATATTCTTGCGCATTCTTTTCCATTTTTTTTTTCCGCTTCTCTTACTCAGATTATTCAGGAAAATAAATCAAATGAAGTGAAAAACAATGAAATTTCAGAATGCAATTTACCTTAATAATTAATCACATACCTTTTTAATACCTGGTTTAAAAGAGTTTTATGAATACTTCTTACAGGTGAAACACCTTGCTGAAACACCTTTCCATAATGTCATTTTGTTTGTCATTCTTTATAGCAGACGATAACATGACTATCGATAGTGCATGCCCATCGTCTAAATCGAAATTCACCATCATCATCATCATCATCATCAGAAGCACTTTACCAAATACCGTACAGAAGAAGCCCTCTCTCTCTCTCTCTCTCTCTCTCTCTCTCTCTTGTGAAAAAAAGAAGAAAATAATCGGTGTAGTTGCAAAGAAATAAACAACAACAACAACAACAACCTGTCTGTTTCTTCTTCTTGTTCATGAAGAAGAAGAGAAGTAGTTATCACTTTACAATGTATCAATTAGCTTTTACTTACTTTTATCAAACTTAATCAAATCAATAATTGCAATAATTTGTACTATTTCATATTATATTGATTCTATCATCATTTTTTTTTTCTTTTTTCTATGACAATAAGTATTACTAAGCAATTAAGAATATATTAATAAGAATGAAATGTTTTTTTTTTTTTTTAATTGATTTTATGGTACTTTCAATGTTATAAAGTTATATTTGCGCTCTATAAAATTACATTTGCGCCACAGTTGAAAGCAATATGATCGTTATACGTTGAGTAGTACAAAGGTAGTAGTACGTAGTGCTACGTAGAATGATGAAAGTTAGAGGAGTGTAATTGATTGGTTAGCTTGGTTGATTGGTTGATTGGTTGGTTGGTTGGTTGATTGGTTGGTTGGTTGGTTGGTTGGTTGGTTGGTTGGTTGGTTGGTTGGTTGGTTGATTGGTTGGTTGGTTGGTTGGTTGGTTGGTTGCTTATCCATCTGAAAATGTTTGCACGGCTCCTTTTCATCTGTTTATATGAATGAGAATAGTGCTGTGCTATTTGAAGCAAGCTAATATGCAAATGCAATGCATATTAGCTTGCCTGCCTACCTACCTGTTATTATATTCTCTTCTACAAATGAAACACAAATACTTTTACTACTTTATTATTTTATAATTTTTAGTTTAGAGTAGAGTAGAGTAGAGTAACTTTTATTACTTTATCATTTTATAATTTTTAGTTTAGAGTAGAGTAGAGTAACTTTTATAATTTTTAGTTTAGAGTAGAGTAGAGTAGAGTAACTTTTACTACTTTATCATTTTATAATTTTTAGTTTAGAGTAGAGTAGAGTAACATTTACCTGCTAAATTCATTAGTTTACTCAATTTGTTTATCCAAAAGATATACATTTGTTATCATATAAAGATAATTTTCCTTCATTTAATTAGGTTCTCTGTGTTGCGTTACTTACGATTTACACGTTACGTACGTATCGTTACGTGTCGTTCGTTACGTATAAAATGTTGAAATGTTATTAACTAATTGTAACATTTTTCTTCTTTCAGTTGCAAAATATTTTGAGGACGCCATAAAAGATATAATTGTGCGTGTAATTAAATTAATTCAATCAAAACAGTATCTCACAAAAATCAAAAAAATATTCTCAATGAATTATTGTTGTTATTGTTATTGTTGTTGTTGTTGCTGTTATTGTTACCTTTATGCGTAAAAAGTTTACAAATTTTTAATTTAATCTTTTGAAGAAAAAAAAAAATACAAAAAACGTATATTTATAAAATAAATCTAAAATTGTAGCAACCGTGGCGGTAAAGTTACCATCTCAGACAAACAATACGAACCGGTGTGAAGTAGTAGTACCTGTTGGAAGTAAACATTAGCATAAGTACAGGTAACTGAAACAGCAGTAACAACAACAACAACAACAACAAACAACAACAACAACAACAACAGCAACAACTATTACCGCCATTATCATTATCACTAATCACCGCCAAACAATTGTGACAATACAATTTGCTTATCATTTCACTGTTCAGTTTGTGTCGATTAGATCAAAGTTAGTTTAATTTGACTGGAACGAAAGATAAAAATTCTTCTCATTTTTATAATTTAAAAAAAAAAAAAAAAAAAAAAAAGGAAAATGAATTTAAAATAAATGAGTTTGTTTTGTTGTGTTTGTTTGATACCTGCATGTTAATATAGCTAGTAGTTGTGTTGTTAGTTTGAAATTAGTACCAAGTTGTGCCTATCCCTAAATATGCCATCTCATTCTCGAACAGAAAAAAGAAACTTAGAAAATAAATAAATGAAAATAACAAACAAAAGAAATTTCAAACATTCCAATGGCTATTATCATCATTATCATTATCATTACTTACTTCAAATTAACTATTATCATTGATTGATTTTTTTTTTTCTATTTCTTCTTATCATTATAATCAGTTTGAAATGAGAAATAGCAAAAAAAAAAAAAGTGAAATTAGTAAAAATTTTTATTTTAGATAAAAAAAAAATAAAAAATAAAAAAAATGAAATCTAAAAGAAACTTTCAAAAATTTTTCCAATGTTATATTACAAAAGAAAAAAGAAAAAAAAAGTTAAAAATTGAGAAGAAAGCAAAAATTTGGGAATTATTTTTTTCTTATTATTACTACTATCAAAGTAACATTCACATGTACTTTACCTTCATCAATAAAAGTTTTAGTTTAAAAAAAAAAAAAAAAAAATTGGAAATATTTTTTTTTTTAAAACCAATAAAAGTGTTTGATAATTTTCTTTCTCAATTTTCTTCACATAAATTTCTTCTCCTCTTTTTTTTTTTCAATTTTTATTTAAATGAATGGATGATAAGATGTAGTAGGAATTAAGAACAAAGAATTTTTATCAGGAGAATTGGATCAATTATCGATCAGTATCAGGAGAATTGGATCAATTATCGATCAGTATCAGGAGAATTGGATCAATTATCGATTAGTAAATATCAGTTTATCAAATGTTAATGTATAAATATATGATGTGGTCATTAAATATAGCATTTTTCATCCTTACCATCCTTTCTGGTTTGTTTTTTTTTCTTCATTTTCAATTTATTTATTTATTCATTTATTTATTTATTTTCATTTTCAATTTATTTGTTTATTTTCATTTTCAATTTATTTCTTTATTTATTTTCATTTTCAATTTATTTGTTTATTTATTTTTATTTTTAATTAATTTATTTATTTATTTTCATTTTCAATTTATTTGTTTATTTATTTTCATTTTCAATTTATTTATTTATTTTTTTTTTATTTATTTATTTTCATTTTCAATTATTTGTTTATTTTCATTTTTAATTAATTCATTTATTTATTTTCATTTTCAATTTATTTATTTATTTATTTTCATTTTCAATTTATTTATTTATTTATTTTTCAGTGATATTTGCATATTCCCAAACAATAATAAATAAATGTTAAAATATTAGTTTTTTTTTTTTTTCAATGAAATCTCTTCATTTAATCAATGATTTAAATGTTTTTTTTTTTTTCAAGAAATAACAAAAATCTTAGAATGCTCCATGGAAATTAAAAAAAAAAGTGTTTTTTTGAGAATTTTTAGAATTTAAAAAAAATGCAAATGTATTTTATAAATTTATGTTATTTTTTACAATAATATAATTCATTTAATAAATAATTTTTTTTTTTCTCTTTTAAGAAACACATTCATCAGGTGTTGCTATACATGAATTATTAGAGCAATATCTTGGTGTCGCATGTCAACGAGAAAGGTTTCAATTCTGATTCATTTGAAAATATTTGTTAAAATATTTTTTTAATGACAAAATGAGATTGACATTTTTTTTTTTGTTTTCTTTTTTTCTAGCAAAAATTTATGAATTATTTTTTGTTATCAAATAATAATAGGTTAAATTGATGTGTAATTTTATAGGATAAGTGTACAGTTAACATTCAACCGGAAAAGACATCCGGAAATGACAAAATCAATTCGTGAAATGATTTGGCGTGGTCGAATGTGCATTGGAGATGATCAATCTGGCTCATGTTGTTCACAACTTAATATGATACAAGATGTAAGCTAGCATTTTCATTTGCATTTTTAACAAAAAAAATATGAACTTAGAAGTAGTTGGCCGAGAGTGACAAAGGTCATGACCTGATGATTAAACTTGTTTATCTGTTTATTAGTTGCCCGAGAGTGACAAAGGTCATGACCCGGTGAACTGTCATCGGTTCTTAATGAGCATTGTGAATCTATCAGATTTGTTTATCTTCTATCAAGCTTGTTTATCTATTTAGTAGTTGGCCGAGAGTGACAAAGGTCATGACCCGATGACCAAACTTGTTTATCTTCTATCAAGCTTGTTTATCTGTTTATTAGTTGCCCGAGAGTGACAAAGGTCATGACCCGATAAATTGTCATCGGTTCTTAATGAGCACTGTGAATCTATCAGATTTGTTTATCTTCTATCAAGCTTGTTTATCTGTTTATTAGTTGCCCGAGAGTGACAAAGGTCATGACCCGATGAACTGTCATCGGTTCTTAATGAGCATTGTGAATCTATCAAACTTGTTTATCTTCTATCAAGCTTGTTTATTTGTTTATCTTAATTATTTATTATTTTTTTTTCTTGCTAGAAGGAAAAGCCATCACTTATTTGACATTTTTTTTATTACATTCATATGATCACATCTATTCTCGATGTAATTATAATTTTTAGTTTATTTTAGACAAATGCTAATCTGTAAAATAATAATTAATAGTATTATTTATCAGCAAAATTAATTGTCCAATTATTCATTTTAATTTTTTTCTCCACAAAAATTTATGCTTTTTTAAATTTTGATATTTCAGTATCATGTAGTATTAGTTGGCTATAGTAAATGTGGTATAGAGAAGACATTCTTTGCTGGTGGCTTCAATTTTATTGCTAAGGTTAAAATTTTTTACATTAAAAAATTTATATCTTTCTTTTTGTAAACAATTTTTTTTTAATTTTATCATCTCGTATGATTTAATTTCATTCAAATGTGGAAGTAGAAATTTACGTAAGCGTACGTAAGACTTACCTACTATTATGGCTTATTTACCTATGTGTTAGCTAATGTACATAGCTTATTTGTAATTGAAATTTATTTACCTACTAAATTAAAAGCAATTAAAAAAACAAAGTGTGCTGTATTAAATTAGGTCAAAAATTATTTCTTAATTCAAGCTAATTGAGATAGATGGGTGATTTCTTTTAATATTTATATTAAATTTTAATTTTTATGCTAAATTTAAGGTTTATTTCTGGGGTATTGGTAATGTAAATGAGCAATTTGAGATACAATGTGCGGTACCATTCGTTGAATCTCACGTTAAAGTAAGTTTTATTAAATTAAATTAAAGTAAAATAAATTAAAGTAAGTTTTATTTTTGATAAACAAATCTCTTCTATATTTTATTTTTTTTAAAGTTATTTTCAGTAGAAAATTCATTTCAGAATAAAATTGTTGTAATTTCTTTAAAAATTTTTTTTTGCTTCTTCCAGTATTTTTTCTTTTAGTTGCAAAATTTTTAATGTATAATAATCAAACGAATTGATTTAAAATTTTACAATGATTTAAATGAAGAATTTTACAAGAGTTAACGAATTAAAATTTAATTTTAATTTTACATCGAGCAAGCAAGATGGCTAATTAATTAGATATTTGTTCATCTTTGATGGTATCACCTTTGATCACTTTACACAAAAAGAGCCGCCATCTTATCTATGTATTGATTTTATAGGATGTCAATTGATTGATCGATTGATTGATTGATCGATTGATTGATTGATTAATTTTTGTAGATAATTTATTGTCATTTATTTGTGCAGGCAAAAATGATAGCATCTCGTAAACCGATCCGGTTATCATCTATGGATTTTGTTAACATTCATCAATCATCGTTATCATCAACGCAACCACTTTCCGTCCGGTTAGGAAGTAATTTGCATATTGCTATTGAACCAACTCTTGAAGGAATGCAAAAAAGTAAGAACCCTTTTTTTTATTTTCTATAAATATATTTTTTTTTTTTTATTTTTGAAATGATTTCAATTTCTGGAATAACAGTTTGAAAATTTTCTAAAATTTAAAAATGCATTTTTCTTCTTTAAATACGATATACATGAAAATTTTTTTAAATCACAAGAATAAATAGTGAATTTATATTAAAAATTACACTTTAGTTGATTTACTCTAAATAAGTTAGATTAACTCTTTACGAATATTTGTTTTGAATCAGTTAAAATAGTTTAAATTATTTGTATGAGAAGAAAAATTAGGTAATATGTAGATATATGCAAAAAACGGAATTGAAATCAGGTTAGGAATCAGGTATGTCATATCAATTTCTTGATAATATTACAAATTATCATATCACCAAAAAAAAAAAAAAAAAAAATTTGTTAAAATAATAAAAAAAATAATTTTTCAGGATTACACACATATCCATTACGTTGTTGGATTACCGTTCCTGAAACAGTAACTTCTGCTACTTCTGGCAAACAATTAGCAAATTCTGTTGTAGATTTAGCTCGTAGGTTGGTATTAATTTTAAACTTTTTTTTTTTTATTTTTATTTTTTAAATTTAAATTTAGTTAGTACTTATTTTTTTGTAGAGTTAAAAATAAAAAGTAAGTAAATTTGTTTGCAGATATTTCATAGAAGATGGATGTCCATCTACTGATCATAATTCAGTGTTAGCATTTTTAGAACAAGTAAGTTATTCCTGTTATTTCAAATATAATTTTTGTTTCTGTCTCTAACTTTTTGTGGTTTCATTGAAATCCTGAAAACGGATCATGAAACAGGAATAAGTACCTTAAACGTTTAAACGTTTCGAAAAAAAAAAAACAGGATAGGCTTATGAAAAAGTATACGGAAAAATTTAGCAATTATCAGTAGCAGTAGTTATACCGTATTTCTTCTCAATTACCGGATTACAGTACCGTATCTTCTTTTCTGAATTCATATTAACCATAACTCTGATTATAATTTACCTCTCCTTTAAACTTTTAACTTTTTAACGATTCAATTTTTTCTTTTCCGATTTCAGAAAACGGGTACTGATCGTTATGCGGAATGGACTAAAATAAAAATTCCAATTACTCGTAATTTAATTAGCTCTTCATTATTGAATGGGTTTGTTTGTTATTTTATTTTAATCACATTTCAATTGAATAATACTAAAGAATTTATTGAAAATTTTTTTTGTACTTTTTTATTAACAAAAAAAAAATTCTTTTATTTTAAAAAAATAAAATTATTATAATTTTCATTTTTTTCATTTGAAAAATTTAAAATTATTTATTTTAGATCGGCGGTAATTGACAACGATTCCACTGAATACGGGCGCATTTCGCTTCATTGCGATGTAATTTTCTGTACAGCTCATAAATTAAATGGCTTTCAAAATACTCCAACAGTAATGTTTTTTTTTTTTTTTGCTTATTGTCTCTTTCTCTTATTTTATTTAAATTTTAAAATTTAATTAAAATATACTTTTAAGTCATACTTAAGCGAATAAAAAAAAAAATCTCATAAATTGAGTAAGTAGAATAAAATAAGAAGTAAGATTTACTCTAATGATTTTAATTTTTTTTAATCTTTTATTATTATAATTTTTTTTTTTAAATTTCATTTTGTTTATTTAGCATTTGCAAATTTAGTGTATTAAATTTAAATAATTTAATTTGATAAAATTTGAAAAAAAAAAAACTCCATGAATGCTTCCCTTATTTTTTTTATCAGTGAATAAGATAAGACTTTTTTTTTTGTTTATCATGGCTTTTCTTCCTTTTTTTATTTAACCAAATTTTTCATTGAAATTGAAATTTTAATTCAACTTTAATCTGTCACATCTTTCAAAAAGTTTTTTTTTTATGTTTATTTAATTTATTTTCATTCTTTTCATTTTTTTTTTTTCATATCATAAACTTCAAATTGTAGCAATTTGTTCATTCATCTTTAATCACTTAAATTATTTTTTTTTTTTTTTAAAAAAATTTTTTGAAAAAGTGAAATAATTTTTTTTTATTCGTTTTTGAAAGAAATTTTTTTTTAGAGTATCACTGGTCGGTACACTTTAAGTCTTAAATGCTTTTGAATTCCGTTTTTTTTTTGAAAAAAAAAACTTTAACTTTTAAAATTGACAACTTTAATAAATGTTACACCTCTCTCTCTCTCTCTCTCTCTCTCTCTCTCTCTCTCTCTCTCTCTCTTTGCTTACTATTATTCATCCATCAATCCCTCAAGGACAAATTCATCATCACCGGGTCAAGGCAAATTCGACATTTACTGAGATGTCGTGTAGAGCGATAGACGAGCTCTTCAATGCTTTTCAAATAATTCAACCTACTTTTATAGCTATTTTATGTATGTGTGTATGTGTATGTGAGTATGTGTGTATGTGTATGTGAGTATGTGTATGTGAGTATGTGTGTATGTGTATGTGAGTATGTGTCTGTGAGTATGTGTATGTGAGTATGTGTGTATGTGTATGTGAGTATGTGTGTATGTGTCTGTGAGTATGTGTATGTGAGTATGTGTGTATGTGTGTATGTGTATGTGTGTATGTGTCTGTGAGTATGTGTATGTGAGTATGTGTATGTGTGTATGTGTATGTGTGTATGTGTATGTGAGTATGTGTATGTGTGTATGTTATTAATTATAAGTATTAAACGGAAACGGATAGCATGGAGAAACTTTTTAAATGAAATAAAATTCATAAATTATTGTTCATAACATTTTATCATTTGTTAGATAAATTAATTAGCGTTCAAATTTCCTTTTTTTTTTTTTATAATTTTATTATAAAAAAAATTTTGAAATTTTTTTTTTTTTTTTGTTAAATTAAAATTTCTAAATAATTTTTATATTTGATATATTTCAAAGAATGAATTACTTTTATTGTTTGTAATTTTTATTAGAACATTAAGTTTATTTATTATTAATTCGATTAATTTTTTAAATTTTTATTAGAACATTAAGTTTATTTATTATTAATTCGATTAATTTTTTAAATTTTTATTAGAACATTAAGTTTATTTATTATTAATTCGATTAATTTTTTAAATTTTTATTAGAACATTAAGTTTATTTATTATTAATTCGATTAATTTTTTAAATTTTTATTCGAACATTAAGTTTATTTATTATCAATTCGATTAATTTTTTAAATTTTTATTAGAACATTAAGTTTATTTATTATCAATTCGATTAATTTTTTAAATTTTTATTAGAACATTAAGTTTATTTATTATCAATTCGATTAATTTTTTAAATTTTTATTCGAACATTAAGTTTATTTATTATCAATTCGATTAATTTTTTATGTATGTGTCATCACAGTATGCTAATTGCTTAATTCTATCAGATTTCTCCTTGTCATTCCTTTTCGTAAACATATAAGTAAAATTGTTTGACAGATGTATGTGACACATATGTTGACAGATGTTTTTTTTTTTTTGTTTGTTGTTGTTGTTGTTGTTACTGTGATCTGATCGAATTACATTTCTCGAATGATGGAAATAGTTTAGCAAAAAAGAAAAAAAAAATTAGTTGAATGGATGTTATCATTATTATATATATAAAATGCTATATTTGAAGTGATCTGAAATAATTTAAAATTATTGTTTACAGTGTAATTAAATTATTAATCTTATTTGATTAGTATAATTGTAATTGTAGAATTGATTAGTAATTAATTGAAATAGATTTAAAATTAGCCAAAATTGAGATATTTTTTTTTTATTAGTTTATATTTAAAATTAAATTTTTATTTAAATAAATTAAATTACAATAGATAAAATTGAGATATTTTTTTTTTATTAGTTTATATTCAAAATTAAATTTTTATTTAAATAAATTAAATTACAATAGATAAAATTGAGATATTTTTTTTTTATTAGTTTATATTCAAAATTAAATTTTTATTTAAATAAATTAAATTACAATAGACAAAATTGAGATATTTTTTTTTTATTAGTTTATATTCAAAATTAAATTTTTATTTAAATAAATTAAATTACAATAGATAAAATTGAGATATTTTTTTTTAGTTTATATTCAAAATTAAATTTTTATTTAAATAAATTAAATTACAATAGATAAAATTGAGATATTTATTTTTTATTAGTTTATATTCAAAATTAAATTTTTATTTAAATAAATTAAATTGCAGTAGACAAAATTGAGATATTTTTTTTTATTAGTTTATATTGAAAATTAAATTTTTATTTAAATAAATTAAATTACAATAGATAAAATTGAGATATTTTTTTTTATTAGTTTATATTTAAAATTAAATTTTTATTTAAATAAATTAAATTACAGTGTCCACGAGCATCGTTCTGTTCATCAACATCAAATGATAGGCGACATTTACCAACTTGGATTGAGCCTTATTTACAACAAGCAATAACAGTTAGTTCAAGTTCAACAATTCGTATTCTTCTTACAAATGCTACTGAACCATCGTTGGATAATGACAATGATTTATCAATTTCTGATGAATTAATTGCTGAAAATGATGATAATCTTATCAATGTTGCATATGGTAAATTTTTATTTTCATTACAAAATTTTAAATTTATGATTAAAATTTTTAATTTAATTTTTTTTTTTGATAAATAAAAAAATATTTTATTTTAATTTGAAAAAAAACTTTAGATTAAAAATTTTGAAAATGATGATAATCTTATCAATGTTGCATATGGTAAATTTTTATTTTTATCACAAAATTTTAAATTTATGATTAAAATTTTTTTTTTTGATAAATAAAAAAATATTTTATTTTAATTTGAAAAAATTTTTAGATTCAAAATGTGCTAAAGTATGTGCTGTAGCAGTTGAGAAAGCACTAAGAAAAGAAGAAGAATGTCATTTAGATGGTATTCCATTGTATGTTGTCATTATAATTGCTGTCATATCATTTGCTTTTGGTGTCGCATTTGTGGCTACCTTATGGTTAATACATAATAAGACAGGTATGATATGTTATTACCTTTGGGTAGTAATTCTTTTTTCTTTTTGTTTATGTTCAAATAAAATATGTAAAAATATTAATTAAGATAATTAATTAGTAGTGATTTAAATTGAATAATCAATAAAAGTAATTTAAATTTAAAATTTAAAATTTAAATTTTAAAATTGTAATTTAAAAATTTAAAATTGAATAATAATCAATAAAAAATAATTTTAGTAATTAATTGAGTAATTGATAAATGACTCAATGCTCAAACAAAATATAAGGAATAATTAATTAAGATAATTAGTTAACAGTGATTATCAGTAATTTAAAATTGAATGATAATCAATAAAAAATAAATTCAGTAATTAATTGAGTAATTGATAAATGACTCAATGCTCAAACAAAATATAAGGAATAATTAATTAAGATAATTAGTTAACAGTGATTATCAGTAATTTAAAATTGAATAATAATCAATAAAAAATAAATTTAGTAATTATTTGAGTAATTGATAAATGACTCAATGCTCAAACAAAATATGAGGAATAATTAATTAAGATAATTAGTTAACAGTGATTATCAGTAATTTAAAATTGAATAATAATTAACAAAAATAAACTCAGTGACAAAAAAAAGAAAAAAAAACTTTGAATTGAATTTTTTTGTTTGAAATATTTTATTAAATGAAATTAATATTAATTTAGTTAAACTGAAACTTACTGTAATTACTTGAGTAATTGATAAATAACTCAAATTATTATTTTTGGATAACCATTACTCATATTTGTCATTTATCAGTAATCAGGTGATTAAATGCCAAAAGTTAATTTAAAAAGAGGATAGAATTTTCAAGATTTATGATTTCTGCATAATTAAAATCTCATACAACTACTGTTAAATGAAATACGTTGCAAAACAAAATATTGTTATTCTTTTCCGGTTTTCTGGAAATGCAATAACTTACCGGATATTTAATTTATGAATGCAATTTGAAATTTAAGAATAATTATTTTTGATGATAATTTTTTAGATCCATTACGGAAGATTCGTTGCGCTGATCGAAATAGACGTGGTATGCCATTAAATGCAATTTATCGAGATTCAGTTATTCGACCATTAAATAATGCCAACGCATTTATGACCACGTGTAGTGCGTCAATAGCGGAACGAGAACGTTTGGTCTGTGATCGACCTTAATAATTGTCAACGTTATAAAATAATTTATGACCACGTGTAATGCGTCAATAGCGGAACGAGAACATTTGGTCTGTGATCGACCTTAATAATTATCAACGTTATAAAATAATTTATGACCACGTGTAATACGTCAATAGCGGAACGAGAACGTTTGATCTGTGATCAACGTCAATAACTGCCAACGTTATAAAATAATAATAATAAAGTAGTAGTATTATCAATGTTTTTATATCATGATGATTCTTTATGAAATTGATAAATTCAAAAATTTCTAGAATTAAAATAGAAAAAACTATACTAGAATCATTTACATATATTCTTTTTATTTATTTTCTTCTAATGTTAATAATGATATTAATTAAAATTAAAATCGAGAAACCCCCCTCCACCCCCCAATTTAAAGAGCAAGAAACTGTCACTTACGTGTCTAATAGGTGACACATGATTATACTCACTCAGGAAATAAGTTTTTATAATTTCTTGTTATTGAATATAATTTTTATCTTTTGCATTTCATTTCTTATAATTATAAGTTTTTTCTTTCTTTCCTTTTTTTTTTAAATATAATTAAATTTCTTTTTCTTTCCTTTTTTTTTTAAATATAATTAAATTTCTTTTTCTTTCTTTCTTTTTTTTTTCCAATCAATAATACATCTTTAATTGATTCGTTAATTAATAGAACAGTTTCGTCTTTATCACTAGTCCTCTTTTACCTGTTTTTACCTGCAAATTTCTTTTTTTTGTTTATAAATTTTTATTCAATTTAAAATAGTTGAAAATAGGAAAATTAATGAAAGTAAAATTTTCCAAATTGCTTATTTCATACATTTAACATTTTCATTTTTCAGTGAAATCTGGTGCTTTAGCTAGTTAGTTAGAATTTTCAATTTTCATCACATTATTATTATTATTATATTTAAATAAGTAAAAATAAATTCTTCTCACATTTAATAGTAGTAATCAGAAATTAATGCTAATAATAATTAGTAATGATAATAATGATAATAATAACAATAATAATGATAATAAATAAATAGTGATGACAATAAATAATAATAAATAAAAGTTTTGTTTGATGACATTAACTTTTTAAACTTAACATTTTACGGAATTACTTTGATGATAGGAAATGTTACAACAAAAATTGAATACTTTTTTTTTTTCAATTCTTCTTCTACAGTTTGTTTGAGTGTGAAATATTGTCTTATTGCTGATATACCTATTGAAAAGTAGTAGTAGTAGTAGTAGTAATTTCTAATTTGCATAAAGTACTTTAAATTTCTATTAACTAAATGACTTCTCTTTATTTCTCTGTCTCTTGAAACCATTCATTCATTTATTCACTCATTCTTCTATAATCACTCCTGGTTTCTTTGCCTTCGCATTCTTCTTGTTCTTCTTCATCAAATGTTTCATTATAATTTCATCTAAACACGGTTATTACAATTATTACGGAAGAAAAAAATTATCATATATAAATTTAAGATACATTATTATCCAATGTTATACATCGTTCTTTCAGCTTTTATTTCCTTTTTTTTATATAAATCATATATAGATAGTACTTGACATTAGTTTCCTGCCATAATTTTTCTCTTTCATACATTTTATGATTTGAAATTATTCGATGAAATTTTATCTGTTCTAATTTAAATTTTATAAAATTGAAAAAAAAAAAAAGAACAGAATAATAATTAATTTGTTATTAATGAGCTGCTAGTATATTTCTTCCACTTTTAAATTTACTATTTGTTATGTTAACATCATTTTTTTTGTTCATAATTCAATTTCGCTATGTTTAATTTTAATTTTTAGAATTTGCATAACTCTTTGTTTAAAAATAACTTTCTTACTTTTTCCTCTCTCTCTCTCTCTCTCTCTCTCTCTCTGCATTTATTATCAAATGTGAGAGAATTTATGCTATTTCTAATTAAACTTTTGCATTTCGTACGACGAAACTATTAGTATATTCTCTCAAAAATTGTTTATAAAACAATTTTATCCTAAAAATTCTGAGTTTATTTCACAATATGAAAAGTTCTTCCTTTGAAAATCTTTTTTTTTTCCTTTTTATAATGAGAAAATTTCTTTTATCATTTGCTATTTGTTTGTATTTGATAACGAGCTGATAACTGTTTTATCATTTATCATCACTGTGAAAAAAAAATCACCTGAGCTCGCCTTTGCTGTTAACATTATTTCTTTCATATATGTTTATTTTATTTTTGTTTGTCATGTATTCAATTCCTTCCCTGTTAATGTTGATTATTACCCGTTCAACGGGTTTTTTTTTTTTCGTTTTACCCATTTTTTTTTTTTGAATTCAATATTTGTTGTATGTTTGATCATACATATACATAATATATATATACATATATAAATACATGTACACATATAAAATTGTTTAGAAAATTTCATCGAATACATTACTGATAATTTAGAAATGACACTATCATTTAAATTGTTATTAATAGTTTTTTTTTTTTTATAAATGTCCAAACTTTTAAGTGCTTTCTCAATTTTTTGTTTTTTGTTTCTTAATATTTAAAATTAAAAAAAAAATGCTCGTTTGCATCTGAAAATTATCTCTTTGTTATCTTTGTATCCTCTCTCTCTCTCTCTCTCTCTCTCTCTCTCTCTCTCTCTGTTTTATTTGTATGAGACAATTCATGCTATGCTGTAACAAAAAGTCCATTTATCCCTTTATTTTTCTATTTCCATCAAACAAAGCTCAGAAAAGTTTTCTGTACTTAATTTGTTCACATTCATTCCCCATTTGATCTCTGAATTTTAAGTCTTTGTTTGAATGGAAATTTTCAAAATTGTAAAAGAGTGATAATGAGAGATACTATAAAATTCTCTAGATAATCATAGTTCAGATGCAAGCAAAAAAATTTGTCTTTTTTTTTTCTCTCTCTCTCTCTTATGAATTTGTGTTAGGCACCAGAGATGCCTCTAAAACTTAAACTTTCGTGTTATCAATTGTACACCAATCAATAAATTAATTTGTCATACTTGAAAGAAAAAAGATTTACAAAAATTTACTTACCGAAGTTCAGCAAAAATGATATATAATTGCAGCTAAGCATGAATGAATCGATTGGTATTATTTTGTTCATTCATTCACAGACTAACCGGAAGAATTCTCTCATATGAAACACCGGTAGTGAGAAGGTAAACCGAATGATTTGTTCGACAAGTACCGTTCAAATTCAGGTGTACCAAGAAAAAAGAACATAGTTTAGAAGAGGTTAAACACAAATTACATATATAATTCATTTAATTGTTACAATTTTTAAGAAAACTTCTCTAGTAGTAGTGAAAAGTGAGGAACAATTTTAAATGGCTGACTCAAATTTAGAGTAAAATTTATGAAAAAAGACCTCTATAGAACTGTTTTAGTTTGAAAGCGTTTTATACATAAAAGGGATGAAAAGTATAGATGCATTTGCATGGTTTAAAGATATAAAATATAATTTATTCATTTGTACGGATTCATCTAGTAATGAAAACGTTTCAGCGACATTATCGATCAGTGTCATAATACCTGTGTTAAAATTGAGAAACAACTTTAAATGGATGATTATCACTATAAGTATACCAAAATCTCTGGAAGAGATCTATACACAACTGATCTTGAAAATTCTGAATTGTTTAACGTAACTTTAACACATTTTTAACATTACTTATCATCAACCAACAAGACTTATCCTGGATTTTACAACACCTGAACATAGAGAACAATTTACATAACTATGAGAAAAGTATTCAGCTAAAATTCAGTTTACATATTGATACATACAATGGTCATTACATTTTGTCGTATGAAGACACCAGCATTTAACATCTTTCTAAAGATTCATTTACTGTTCTGAATTAGAGGAAGGTACATCCGCTCGAACTGAATATTCAGGAGGTTCGGGTGCTGAAAATACTGAGTGTATTAATGATACCTCAAAAAAGTCTACAAACTACAAACGAAAAAAAAAAAACTTCACTTAAGCAATCGTCGTCTAGTTAGATAAAACATTTTTGTATTGGAGACTCATGAGTTATACTCATAAAGTAATCAACACTTACATATCTCCTAATAACCTTGTTTTTTTTTTTACAAATAACCTTACAAAAAACGCAAGTTGAATACTTCATATAATACGGAACACATTTAGCTTTTTTTCAATAAACTTATATTTTCACCATTAGCTTAGTATAAATTCTGTTTATCAAACTAAATATCCAGAAACGAGAAAAATGAGTTTATTAGAATAAAAAAGTTTTAAATGTTCGATACCGCTGACCCAATATTTCATTAAAAACCACAAAAAGCAAAAATGTGTGCAAATAGCGTTTCACAATTAACTTTCCTATTAGCTTATTCTAGTCAAATGTTCTGCTTACCACCATGAGTACTTCAAACTTCTCACTGTACCAAAGCATATACTACAGTATTGAAACTAAATGTGGATAATGGAACAAAGATAAATAAAAAGCAACTTACAACGAACAAAATTATCCCAAGTCATTTTACCATGTTCGAATGCAGTGCGAGTAACAGCAATCGCTTCATAGGGATAACAAAATGCTGTCATCGTTAATAAACCCATCCCAGAATACAAAAATCTGCGGAATACTGACCTAAAAAAGTCCACTTTACAACAACCAGGATTTCCATTAATGTTGAACTAAACAATACTGCACTGGCAGCATTAAAATTCCACCTGTTTTAAATGAAAAGTAATTGCTATATTTCTGAGCAATGAATATAGCAATATTAAAAACTAACTTTTTCATACCAAGAAAAAAACCAGTAAGACCACCAATGGTGATAGCAGCGGCTTTCGGTAATAATCCATAATCTTCTTGCAAAAATCGTTGGAATTCTGCAATTAAACATAATTTCTCTGGAAAGGTTAGCAAACTGTTTCATATCAAATTACTTCCTTGACCAAGCGAATCTTTGAAAGTTTCCATAACTTCATCAGTTACTCTTCATCAGATAT